AACAAGTGTACATATCAATAACGATATTAGTAATGATAGTTGCAATCTAAAGAAAGCTTTGAAAGTATTTTTAGAAACTCTCACTATGCCTCAGGGTGTTCTTAGATGCCACATAAATGAGTATTTACAAGTCATTTGGTCTGACTGTAGAAGAAAAGAGCAGCACCTCCTTCTCTTATAACCATTTTTTACATTTATTGATATATGCAACAGAATTATTTGTGCATATCACATTTACTGTTTGAACTCTATTAGGACTAGGAAGAATAGATGTGATGACATCAGGACTTTAGATCAGAAATCTTTTACTGAAGAGCAGGACACTTCTTCATCAATAGCTCTATTCTGAAGATAAATTTCAAAGAAATGTAGTTTATGGAATAGAATACTTTGGGTAATATAATAGGATTTTGGACTGGCTTCTCTACTGTACCTCAGAAGACATAATCCAACCAATTACACTACTGACCTCACATTTGCTTTTGCATTTACTTTCAACTCATCAGTTCCTCACCCTGAGCTTATTTCTGTTTGCTTTCCCTTCCATCTCCCTGTCTTTCCCCATTTATTGAGTGTTCATCTACTCAATTCCCTGGCAAGAAAAATGACATTCACGGTTTGTCAATTTTATAGCATAGTACCATCTGGACCACAAACTGTCACCCTTCCCTAAATCCCAAAGCAAATGACTTCTTTTCTTGTTTATGCTATCTAGCCTTATGGTGACTTTTCCTTTATCCCAATGGCTGAATTTCTGCACAAGCATTTCTGGATAATCTGTTTAGGAAGAATTGTCTGAGGCTGAAAATGTTGATTTAAAAGATGATCTGAGTTCCAAATGGCACATAGTCAGCTGAAGAAGACCTCTGCTTATTACTTCAGAGATATCAGGGTTGTGTGTGAGAACATTCTAAAAAAGAATGGGATAATTTAGAATAAAGTTTACCTTCATAGGACAAATAGTTCTAAACTTTAGAAAGAAAATAACATTACTGTCACTTTGAATGTACACTAGTTGGCATACATTAAAATAAAATTGCATTGCAGGCAGCTCTCAAAGTGTCACCACCTCCAATATATATCACATAAACATGACTAAATAAATAAATAAATATCCAGATACCCACATAAATTATATGACACAGAGAAACAACACAATCTAGTTTGGATGTATACATGTACATGGCAATAAAAATGAATCTTGAGAGTTTACTAGACGGATGGCATAGGGAACAAAGCTGTTACAAAATCTGGGAGTCCTATTAGAAACATCCTCCCAGAAGGGAGCAACAGAAAGAGACCATGAAGTGGGTGTGGGGGGTTGCTAACAATGCATTGAGCTCTAAGCACATAGCACTTATAAGCAGTAATTCTGAATAATAGGAAGCAAGCTTCCTATAATCTTCTTAGCTGTCCTTACCACTCTCTGTATGGACTTTCTACCTGAGGCACTGCTGCCACCAAATCAAACAGTGATGCAGTTTGTTAAAATGCTCTCAATTGTACCTCTGTAAAAAGTGGCCAGGACAGAAGGAGAAAGATGTGCTTTTCTTATCTGACACAGGAAATACAGAAACTGGTTTGCATGCTTCACTAAGGATGGTGTGTGGCCGCCACTATGCCAACCAAGAACAAAATGCTTTTCTAGGAGACTGATTAAGATTTTCATTAGATAGATGTCTCCATTTTTGGCTTTTTTCTTAGTGTATTTTTGGAAATTATAATTGAGTAATAACAATTACTATGTAGCCATTAAAACAAGAAGCATTGGTGAAAATAAAAAAAGGTCTTAGTTATTTTTTCACATGATATGATAAGATATTTGCAGAAAGTAGATGAGTAATTAGAGCATGATATTGGAAGGGGCTAAGATACAGGATCATGAAACAGAAATAGATGTTGATTGAAAGAAACTCAAGTTAAAAACACTGTAAAAATACCTTATCACAGAATAGCCAGATCCTTCAAGTTGGAAAGCAGAATAAGAAGAGTATTGAAATTTTGAACATTCATTTGGAGAACATTTCTGTGAATATTGTGGACAGATAAGTAAATAAACCAATGGATCATTACACTGGGTTCTCACTAGAGGCACACATGCCCAGGATCAATTATTGTACTTCAGACACATTATGTGAGATCCTAGTGTTGTAGATGTTTGGAAAGGTGAAAGGAGGAAAAAGGAAATACATGACCAGCAGCAAGATAAATGTACTTAGTTATCATGGCAATGGGTAAACCGTTGAAAGATCTGAAAGATCAGGTTAGGAATAAATTATCAGGAAGAAAAACTTTATGTGATGTCTCTAACAGTTGACACCAACTTGATAGAACACAATCAAATCTAACCACCACACTGTAAACAAATAAGTGTAAAATAAATTGAATATATACAGACAAACTCATACACTAGATCTTCTGTAATGATATTTAAATGGATCACTAAATGGATTAGTGATTTTTTAGTCTACCTAAGAGAAACTTAAATTGTTTTAACTGTTTTAACTTAGTATGAAATTTTATATGATCCCATACTCATCTGGCATGGATAGCTTTAATAAATTCAATTAAATAATATAATTAATAATCTGTGACTATATCTTATGGCCATTTAATTAATTGCTGTGAAGTGTGATCTGTAATAAATAATCAAGACCATATTATTCAAACATGCTTCATATTGCCTAAACCTTAAATATACCTGTTCCTGGCATTTTCCTTTTCTGTCCGACGAACTCATCTAGTATTATGAAAAATCCAGTAGAAATGTTCTCACATAGGAACACCACCATTCAAATTATAATTGACAGGACAGTTTAATCTACATATTTATGAACCCTAACCAAGTACTTAGTAGTTCCTTCTGAAGTAGAAGAGTATCAAGAAACTCTACAAGGAAAAAGATGGAATATCATTCAATGTTTATACATTAATTTGGAACAATATGAAAAATTGTATAAAGAACTCACACTGGAATCAAACATAGAGACTCCAAAATCTATATTCTTTTTTTAAAAAATTGTTAACTGAAACTAATTTTATAACCCAAAATGGTGAAGCGTGCTAAACAAACATCAAAACATCAATTTTATTTCCCATAAAATTGGGAACACAGAAGGAATGGACAACAGAAATATGGCAAGCAGCAATTTCTGTAAAATTATAGAACTCACTTGGAAACTCATTAAAGGTGGTAGTTTTGTCTATCTATCTAAACTGTATGTGATTACATCTTTCTCCCAAACTGTATATTTCATCATAGGGTATATTTTTAAAGGTAGTTTTGGAAAGAATTGTGAAAATCCTGTTCCAGAACTGAACATAAAGTAATTCTTTTTCTTTTGCCAATTTTGTATTTATTCTCTTCTTTCAATCCTGTGTTTTCTTTGCCCCTATTTCTACAAATGTAAAAAAAACATATGAATCTAAGGCAGTCAAATTGTTATCTAAATCAACTATTTTAAATTTTCAGAAGATATCAGAAAACTACTCCTTTTCTCTTTCCCACAGATAACTTCGGGACTTGTAAAGAAAACATGAAAATAATGTGGAGATAACTATTTAAAATAACGTATTTTTTCAGAGTATAAGACATCTTTTTCCCTCAAAAAGGAGGCTGAAAATCTGGGTACATCTTATACACTGGATACAGCATTTTTTGCTTCCCAAAACCCCATCCCTTCACCAAAATGGCCATGCAGAGACTTTAGGAGGCTTTCAGAGAGCTCCTGGGGGCTGAAGAGGGCAAAAATGAGCAAAAACTGGACTGTTTTTTCCTCAATTTTGTCCTCCAGCCCCCAGGAGCACTCTATAAGTCTCCTAAAGGCTATACCTCCACATTTTTTGACAAAAAACTGACCTTTTTTTATGAAAAATGGGCCGCTTTTTGCTCGTTTTTGACCCCCCCCCCTGGAGCACTCTACAAGTCTCCTAAAGGCTATTCATACCCTTCCTTTGAAAAAAAAACCTAGGTCTGTTTTCGCGAAAAATGGGCCATTTTTGGGAGGTCTGAAGAGTGCAATTTTTTTTAATTTGCCTCTCTAAAATCTTGGTGTGTCTTATATCCTGGTGTGTCTTATACTCTGAAAAATATGATACATTATTTCACAGGGGGAAAATCTCAGAAAGAATATTACAATGGACTCCTTAATATCAGTATTTATAAATGCCTCTGTGTTATCCTAAAACAGTTATAGTGAACCTTTTTTACTTCGGATGCCAAAAGTATGTGTGCTCACACCCATAATTTAAAGCCCCTCCCATACTGTTCCCCTGCACATGCGTACGTGACTCTCCCTGCTGTCCCGTGCATGCGTGCACAGCTTTTTTGGAGCCTCGGGAGGCAGAAATGGCCTGTTTTCTGACTTCCGATGGGCCCAGTTTTTGCCCTCCCCGGGCTCCAGCGATTTTCCTGGAACTTGGGGATGGTGAAAACGGCCCTCCCCAAGCTCCAGGAAAGGCCCTCCAGAGACTGAAAATGCCCTCCCAGAGCCTCTGTGAGAGCCCTGGCATTGACTGGAGACTCCTGGGAAGGGAAGGGCAGCATGGGCAGGCCAGCCAAAATTCAGCTGGCCAGCTCTCACATGCCAGCACGCGCTTGTGCACACATGCACACTGGAGTCAAGCTAGGGCAATGGCTCACGTGCCCACTGATATGGCTCTGCATGCCACCTGTGGCACACATGCCATAGGTTCTCCATCATGGTCCTAAAACATTCATGTATTCATAAACTATATTCCTACATTAAACAATATGGCTACATAAACAGGAACCAAAGCTTTGGTTTTCCGGTATATAGAACATTTCAAAAAAGTATGCAGTCATAGAATTGCAACTTTTTTCTAAAAAATAAAATAAAAAACACACACACAAAATAGCCTAAAAGACATTGGAAGATATCTGGGAGCTTATTATAAAGACTCAAATTCAATAAATTAATTATATTGTTCATTGTTAGAAAAGGACGTGTGATAGGAGAAAAAATATTTTTTTCACTTACCAGTAGAATCTATTTGGGGTTATGGATTCTTGTAGAAGTAGCCATCTTCTTCCAAATTCAACTGAACTGTACAACTAAGAAGAAACATTAAAAGAAATACAGTGTCTTAATCTTCTGCCAAACATTCATCCTGTTTTAATTCTCTTAAAGTTTTATGATGTGAATGATTACCCAGATTGTTTTTAACTCTCAGTCTCCTTTTTCACACCTGCCAAGAAGGTTTACAAAAATATTCTCTAAACAAGCATCTTTATAATCTAAAAATATGTTCTATAAAATGTTTCTTTTTAATTATCTCCTATCACTTTAGCTGTCTAATGTGAAAAATGTGTGCAGCAGCACTGCTGCCCAAATCATAAAAGATTTGCTTTAACATGAGATGACAAAATACACTGATTGTTGTCATAGGTTTGTTTTAGAATGGGTCAAATACTCAAATAAATGCACTTGTTATATCTGATATAGATTTAACAGTGTAATACACTTTTTCTACCTGCAACTTCTTCCATTTTACTCTGGAATCAAAGTGTTCCCTAGATTTACCAAAATTTTATTTCTTGAAAACAAAGTAGGGTTTTTTTCTGTCTCACATTCATGTCTTTTAGAAAGTCTTTGGAATTTGAAGTGATGGAAGATGCCAGTAAGGTTATTATTGGAAGAAGGGGACTGGTTGATACGTGTATTTTCCTCATTTTGTTTCTCCTGCTTCCTGAATATCCAGGTTTGTGATTTGATAGTAGCTGTTCCCTGATAACATTTTTCTTTGGAATATAACTGCAAGATTAGAAATGTTGGGGAAGAAATATATAAAGAAAAACAGAATACAGGTAGTCCTTGATTTATAACAATTCATTTAGTGACTGTTCAAAGTTACTATTCTGACCTAGGCTTCCTGAGACAATAAAAAAACACATGCTTAGTCCCCCAAACCCTCTTTTTTATTTCAATGGCTGTGAATTATGTTCATTCAAAGCCCGTAATGAGTCACAAATAGTTTGTAAAGAGTCCAACAGAAGTCTGCCAAAGTCTTTCAGGATAAGGCTGATAAGCACCCACCTTTATCTCCCTTGAAATGTGGCCGAAGACCTAATTGGCAATTAGATTTGCAAGGCCACATGGAGCAGAGTCAAAATGAAGCTTCAGAATTAAACTGACCAGAACAAACAAAGTTGCTTCTTGCAAAAGCTCGTGTGCCTTTGCTCCTCCTTAATGTCTTATGGGAGGGACCATCATCTCCAAGCCTTACTCCCGAGTTTCAGTTTATTACATTTATATGCTGCCCTTTTCCCCCGAAGGCGACTCAGGGCGGCTCACAACTCAACCAGGGAAGGGGAATACAGACAAAAAATTTAAAAAACAAAGCATAACAATGCATAATTTAAAAATATACAACAGTCGTACCATTCGAGATGGGGGCAACAGCTCTTTAGCCCCAGGCCTGTCGGAACAGCCAGGTTTTAAGGGCCTTGCGGAAGGCCTGGAGGGTGGTGAGGGTTCGAATCTCCATGGGGAGTTCGTTCCAGAGGGTTGGAGCAGCCACAGAGAAGGCTCTCCTCCGAGTAGTCGCCAGTCGACACTGGCCGGCGGATGGAATTCGGAGGAGGCCTAATCTGTGGGATCTGATCGGTCTAGTGGAGGTGATTGGCAGCAGGCGGTCTCTCAAAAGATACAAGCAAACCTTGTATCTTTGGGTTACAAAGAAGTAGAGGCAGCTGAATGCCTAAATGACCAAAAAAGTAGCAGATTGAACTCTGTCGTGCACATCTAGTTCAGGCTTAAAGTATGCATTGGGAGCAGGGAAATCCTCTAAGTGCTTTACTTCAACAGATGGACTAGACTGATTCTGACTTG